TGTGAATGAGACATCTGTAGTCACAAATTTATTTGATACATACTTCTTAAAATCCAAAGCAGATGTGCAGATGTGTGACTCTATAGTGATATACTAATAACTAATGCAGACCTTTTTAGATACTCATTCACTACATTGAAGGCAGGGTTACATCAAGGTGGCCTGGAATTAATTTAGAGCCCTTTTGGCCCATCACTGAATCCTCCCAAGGACCTGGCATAGAAGCCAAGGGTTGTGCCAAATACTCTGGCTTTAGAATTATCCTTACATCAATGGAATTTTTTCATAATTTAAGCATGTGTGATGCAGTGTCTGAGCTCTGTGATCTGTCAGAATTATCGCAGACAACGGACACAGCAGTGCCAGAAGCTCTCTCGCATTTGTCAGGACAGGCTTAAATTTCTGCTTGCATTGTTGCTAGTTTAGAAATACATGCAATGAGGATGACAGTGCCAAACAAAATTTGTTCTATGAAAGCTGGGATATGCATGACAGCAAAGTTGTTAAAATCCATGTAGCAAAATTGGGAGCTTGGCAAAAAGTAAAAAAAAATAAAACTGGCTGATGACAGCAGGATTTTTAAGACTAAAGCCTACTCAAACATCTATTTTTCCTGCATATTAATTCTCTATTGTTGTCTTTCCTAATCAAAAACTGAATTCAGAGTAAGAATAGGCTGAGTCACTTTTTAAAAAATGTGGTCTACAAATACCAGAACCATTGCCTAAACAGTAACTGACTATTACAATGTTTAACTCTCCCACAGAACTTGGAAATGCCTGTAAAGAGAAGTGTCAAATAAATCCTTAATGCTTTGCCATGGATAGTACGTCATTCCTAGGGTCTTTGGCCTTTTCACTCTGTCTCTTTATTTTTTGTTAATTTTTTTTTTTTTAATTTCAGTTTAATATCCTGCGGAAAATTTGTTTCTGTATGTGAATGTCTTTCCATTTTTCAAGCAGAAGTTTTTGGCACCAGTAGATGTGGCAAAAATATTGTGAACATTTTATTGCGTGATCTACATATAAGCACTCATTGTAAAATATTTATGGCATATAAATGCATAAGTAAGAAGGTAATACTTTGTCTAGTCATTAATTTAATATGACAACAATGTCGGTGGTAAGGAAATGGGATCCATTAGTGGTCTCATGGCTTTATTTCTGTGCCACGCTGTTACTTCCTATCTGTGATGACTCTTTCATGGGGGGAAATTTTGAACCTGCTTATTTGTGACTCTTCACCAATCTGTCTCAAATCTCTGTATATCCACTGCTGAAGGTTTGATGACGCTTTGGTTTTGATTCAGGTATACTCAAAAAGAGTTCCAACAATATGAATCAATAGAGCAGTTAATATATTTGGAAGAGCTTATGCAGCTATATGCCCACTGAAATGGGTCTTTTATCCAGACTTAATAACTGACATTCTTTTTCATTGAAATGAAAAGCTTAGCAGATTTTCTGATAACTGCAACAATATTTTTCATAATTCTCCATAAATTATGATAATAATTCTTCCGTTATATTTTGATGACTCAGAAAATTCTATGTGTGCTGTTTAAATCATAACTTCTAGGCTAGGAAGCAATTTATGACTCAAAATACATTTTTCTTGCACAATAAAAGCATATTATACAGAAGCTCTTCCTCACTCAAGAGTGAGGAAATGAATTTCAGGTCCAAGAAATAACAAGCAATAATACCCATCTGAATTTATCTCTAAATACATTTTTGTACTATTCAAACAAGAACCTACAAATAAAAACTATTTCCAGGATATGCTATAACAGCTCTGCTGTGTTGAACCTCGTGTCCTTGTTTGTTCCAGAACTGGACAGAAAGAGCCGGACTCTTTCCTGCAGTTCTCTTTCCACAGGGATTATTTAAGCCTGCTTTCAGCATTCCCTGGTCTTTCCTAGCCAGCTCTGATGATCAAGCAAGGTTAGTTGCCCTGTAGGCCTGTCCTGAAAAGGTCAACTGACGTCAGTCCACAAAAGCTATGGATTAAAAAAAGTTAGGAGAAGACTTTAAAATGCGCGTAGTTAATATCTTTCGTGACAAAATATTCCAGTGATTTAAATTGGTCAGTACTTTAAAAATGGTAAAAAATGCCTTTGGCAACATGAATGAAAGTTTGTCATAGAGACTGAAATGTCTGCACCTCTACTAATGTGCCTGCAAAAGAACAGGAAAGAAATCTGGTATAATTTATATAGAGAGGTTGTTTTTCCTATTTCAGAATTAATATGAAATGATAGATTTTTTTTTCCTTGTAAGAACTGAGATCATCTTTAAATTATTCTAAAGACAAGTATGTACACTTTTAGCAGCTGTCAAATTTTTATTTTTAGCCTTAACCTACTTGATGAAAATGTCATCAAATATTACGCATGTCATACACCGAGGCTTCTAATTAAGTAGTCTTGTCACCATATGTCTTTTAATGAAGCAAATCTCTTACCTGTATTGAATCCAAATATGTGTTGTTCACATTGTCAAGGCAGTAAGACAGTTCTCAAAATAACTTAGTCAAAATGCTCAGTCTTGAATGCATTATGACAGCACTGCTATTTGTGGGCAACCACTTGTGCATCTGAGAGGAGTGGCTCTGATCTCTCTGGGATCTATCCTTCCCCTTCTCCAAGGGGATGGAGGCTCTGCCTTCATTCAGTCTGTCTCTTACTCTGGCACAGCAGTTTTCTTTCTTCTCCTTTGGCAGTCTGCTGTGCCTAAGCAGCACAACGTGCAGCCCCTGGGAGTGCTCCCAGAGTGTTACCGCTGACCTCAGACGAGCCAATCTTTTGCCAAAAAACTCCATCTAACTACAGGAGCATAGCACACAGGGGTTAATGTGGGCTGATGGTGAGTGGTATCCCAAAAGGGGACTTGCAGGAATGTTGTTTCCTCTCGTGAATCAGCAGAAGCGGAGGCATAATGGCCTTGCCTTTCAGTTGCTGTACATTAATCTCTGCAGAGCAATGCCTGTCATCGCTCAGATGTCAGATGCTGTTTATAACTCTGCTGGAAACACAGCATAGAATAAAACAGGCTCATTAGTTTCTCTTGAGACTGTATATGCATGTTTTAGGTTAGCTGTGCTTTCACTGCTGCACTTAGCTCAAACATTGTAGCAACAGCATTGGTGGCTTGGAAAGTTGTTTGGTCTGTGAATTTGTCCAATTGCTCTCTCAATACGTGACTGAAAAGACCATGATGTGTTCAGGTGCAGAGGTTTCCACAGCACAGGTATGACAGGACTCAGAAGTATTCCCTTGGCTTGGCTTGAACCTGCTGCATTTAATGACACCTTGTGCCAGAGCTGCAGGACAGAGAGAAGCATTGAATCTATTCAGCATCTCTGTGCCAGCTGTGATTTGGCAAGAGTTCAAAGCCTTTCTTCATTTATCTGTTATTTAGACTGAGGACTTCTACTCCTTACTGTCATCCTTTATATGAAGCTATTCCATAATTTGGATGCTTCTTTTTACTTTTCCCAGTGCCACATCATTTCAAGGTGGGAAACAAGAGTCATGGCCAGTGTTCAGTGGTGTCAGATACAGAATGGATTTATACAGTGGCACAGCAATGCTTTATGTTCTACTTCCTAATCATTCCTTACATTTAATTTGGACATTACTGAGCACTGAACTTGTTTTCATGGAGCTAGCAATTGTGTATGCATCACTCTGAAGTCATCCTGGTTATCAGGTTGCCAGCTGTGAAACTAAAAGGGGGAAAATACTATATTATGCTAACTTGGATTTTTAATAAGTAGTTCATTTAAATGTGAGGATAGTTTTAGCTTTACTTTTCAGTCCTGTACTCTTTTATATTTTGATGTCTCGATGTAATATATTTATTACTGTTCGTCATTCCCTTTTTCGCTCTGCAATTATATTTGTAATATGTGCAAAATACTTCCTTTCTGCTGTGAGGCTTTTGTGATCTGCAAAAGAGGTATTTGATTCTGCCTTGTTCATTTTGCCTTTCTCACCTCCTGAATCGACGCAGTACACCCTCAGTTCAAGCGCTTCGCTGAGGAATGGGCTGGGTGCTCTTTAACAGCAGCACACTGAGATGAAATCAGAAATACACCTCCAACCCTCTGCCTTTCGCCCTGCCTGCAGAGGTCTCGTCCGGAGCCTAAAGGGCAAGAAGGAGCATCCAGAAGGAAGTGAATGACTTCCTCCCACGGTAAGCGTTTCCCCGCTGGAGAGATTATTCCTGCCTCCGGCATCCTCTCCTACGGCCGCCTTGGGAATACGGAGCAGCTGTGCTGCAGCAGCAGGAACTCCGTGCCCTGCCACCCTTCCTGCCGCCACCTAACACCAACACGGTGGCTTTAAAATAAATTTTTAATAGCTGGACATCTGGTGAGGTCGGCTATGTTTTGTCTTATTCTCCTAAGAAAGAGAATATATTCGGGAAAATATTTCGGTGGTTAATTTAATAAACCTACAGCAGTTCGTACGGCTTCCAGAAGTTCTTAATTTCTGCGGCTTTTAACAATATTCTCCGTGAAGTTTTACAACCTTGTCTTTTTATCGCTGAAGTCGTGGCTGCTGACATGACTCTCTGTACACCTACGGAACAATGGGGAGGCTTGGCGTGCTTTAGTGCTCTATCAAAACTAACGCAGTGTTGTCAAAACGAGAGGAAATGTCTTGTGTGTTGTTCTGGTACCGTAGGAGGAGTAAATGGAACTTTAGGGAGTCCCTCGGTGCTGGAGGAAGTTATTGGGGAATGGCATTAGAGGAGAGGCTCGGGAATATTTACTGCAAGCCCCGTGAGACCCGAAAGCCGTTCAGCTCGCTCAATAAAATAGTTCTATATGCTGATCCCACACAAAAACGGCGAGGAAAGGAAGTAGTTTCCAAACCAAATAAACTTTTTCATTCATCCGAAAGCTTTAAAAATAACAAAACAATTCAGGTAATTTAAATCGGCGTCGGAGGAGCCACCGCCCCCTCAGAGGCAGTGCGCAGGCGCGGCGCATCGATGACTCGGGGCGCGACTGGCGCCGNCGTGAGTAAGCAGTTCCCGGGCCACGCGGGGCCGCGGGCGGGACTGGGCCTCGCTGCCGGCGTGAAAATAAATGGGAGCGGGGAGCGGGCCCTGCTTCGGTCCTGGGACAGAGACTTCCGAGGCGCTGTGAGGAGCCATGTAAATATCTCTGCGGGGGTCTGAAGCCTCTGTGTTACGAGGGGACTGCGGGAGCCGGGCCTGTTCAGTCTGGAGGAGAGAAGTCTGAGAGGGGATCTCAGTGCGCACAGATACCTCAAAGGCGAGCTGAGAGCGTGGTGCCACAGCCTTTTCAGCCGTGCCCAGGGACAGGACGAGGAGCAGTGGCCGTGAACTGAAACATCAGGAGTTTCACCTAAACACGAGGAAAAACTTTCTTACACTGAGGGTGTCAGAGCGCAGGATCAGCTGCCCAGGGAGATCATGGAATCTCCCTCTCTGGAGACATTCAAACCCCCCTGATTGTGTTCCTGTGTCACCTGCTGGAGGTGACCCTGCCTTGGTGGGGAGTTGGACTGAATGATTTCCAGAGGTCCCTTCCAACTAACAGCTTGACAAAAGGAGTTTAACAAAATAAGAACTTATTTACAGAAAAGGTGATTATTGGAATGGGCTGCCCAGAGAGGTGGTGGAGTCACCATCCCTGAAGGTGTTTAGGGAGACTGGATGTGGCACCCAGTGCCATGGTCTAGTTTACAGAGTGGTGTTCAGTCACAGATTGGCCTCCATGTATCAGACATCTTTCCAACCTTATTGATTCTGGGATTATGTAGTGCTGGGATTCTGTGGAAACAACCAGGGCTTCCTCCAGGAACAGTCTTTTAGCATATTAGGGATACTAATGAGTTTTATTTTGTTCATTCCAGTTTCGCAACCAGTATGACAATGATGTCACAGTTTGGAGCCCGCAGGTAAAAACCTTTATGCACTTGCTCACTGGAGTTTTAAAACGCTTTTTGGTTTTTCTCCACCGCACAGCAATGGTCAGAAGTCACAAAGGTTGTGTTCAGGTGCCTGAAGCTTCCCGCAGGCTGCTCCCCTTTCCCTTTGTAGGCTGTAGGTGTCCAGAAAGCCCTCAGCACATCCCTGTCTGTTGGTGTATGAACCCGAGTGGTGTTTTCCTGGGCCTTGTCCCCTCCAGGTGCTTAAGGCAGTTGTTTTGAAATGTACCTATGAGGTACAACAGAGATGCTGTCACCTTTGGGTGGTTGGACTAGATGATCTGTAAAGGACCCTTCCAGCCCAAACCGTTCCATGACTTTATGATCCCTTTAGAGAGCTACAATAAGTTGGTAAGTAGGGTATACAAAGCATGAAACAGTTTCAATCTTGCCAATGTTAGGCTGTTGTTAGGTCTTTCTCTCCTGACTACTATATAATATGGGAAAATAACTAGTTTATAATTGGGAGATTCAAGTGAGATTTGCATTTGAATTTGAAATTTTATTATCTCTGTATCAGTTTCACACTGTACATTGTTACTGAAAACATGAAACTTACACAAGTTGTTTTGAAAATAAATATTCTGGAATTTTAAAAGCCACTGTCAGCTGAGGTATTTAATATTGCCTCTTCTCTCATTATGGATATTTTAAGACTGGATGCTTATAGAAAACCAGAGCCTTGGAAAAAGATTTGTTTATTTATTCAGCAAAACTAGAGATTTATTTTAAATGCAGGTAGCAAATAAATTGTATTAGTCTCAAGCTAATGTATTATTAGTTTGTGGGTTTGTGTCACTACTGAAATTCTTCATCATGTAGTACTATTGCATGTGAGATACATTTTCCAATCAGTGCAGCAGAGACTGTTCTTTCCATTCTCCATGAAGACAACCTTGAATATTTCCCTTTTTCTTTCAGTCAATACCATGATAGGTGTAGGTGCCTTTGAACTGTTTTCATCCTTCTTAATGATTATGTTTCTCTGGCAGGTTCTGTATCACAAACTTTATTTTTTTAATCTCATCTGTTACTTTAAAAGTTACTTTTAAAACTATAACGTTCTCTTAAGACTTTTACCAGATACTGCAAAATCATAGACAGCACAAGTTTTTTTGTTTTTTCTTAAATTGCCTTGAAAATATTAAAAGGGTTGGTTTTCTCTAAAAAAAGACATTTCAAATTGCTACTGTGCTGCAAGTACTACTCCATCCATTCTTGTAGGTGAGACAGTGATGTGATGCCATAATAGTTTTTGGCACTGTTAATACAGGAGCAAAGTATACTTTACTGGGAGATGTTCTTGAGTATGGTAATAAAGAAAAGGAAATAGAAGATTTAAGAGCTCAAAGTGGTTTCACATTTTTAATCTTGCATGTCATTCCTGACAGCTGACAAATTTGTGTTGCACAGGTCACAGCTATTCAGTGCTGCTCTTGGGCAGGAAATATCCTGTGTTATTGAAATTCCAGTTATAACAGGATGAAATTCAACATTAGGGTCTTTCTAGGAGACTTAAATAAAGACCCTTATGCCAGCAATCCCCAACAAGCCATGGGGAAGGTGGTATCCTGTAGATCATTCCTTGCACATTCACCATGACAGTGACTGCAATTCCCCTCCTTCCCAGCTGGTGGGATGCAGCTCCGTGGTGTCTGTGCTTGCAGGATAGGAGTGCCCATGTTTGCTGTCTGACATGGGCTGGAGTCCTGAAAATGGGAAAACCCTCAGTGGTTCTGTTAAATGGACATTAAAACTCCTGGCCACCTCTGCAGAACTTGTAGGGACTTTGTTTTCTTTGAGACTTCTACTCCTGTTTCAGACTTGACAGCAGTTGGCCAATAACTTGTTCAGAAGTTATTGGGGGATGGCTGGTGAGACACAACAATTGTGTAAGACTCATTTCTTCAGCAAACCCGATTAAAAGTTAAGTGTCCAGCTTCAGCTGGTAGTTTTGTCTGTCTTTGAGTTACATTCTGATTTAACCTGTTGTGCAGTAAGTGTCCCTGTTGGGGTGGGGAATAAAGGTCTGAAAATTCAAACCCACTGGAAACTGATTCAGAGGATTAACTAGAGAGGGATTGACGACCTTCGACTTGGTTTTGCAGGGCCGAATTCATCAAATAGAATATGCCATGGAAGCTGTGAAACAAGGCTCAGCTACTGTGGGGCTGAAGTCGAAAACACACGCTGTCCTGGTGGCTCTCAAGGTAACTTCTGAACTCTGGTCTCAGTGGGGACAATAATGTTTGTAGAAAAGTTTTGGTTTGGCAAATTAGTTTTGTGCGGATCATTAGACATGAAATGTACATGCAATTGCAGGTTCCCTTTGCTTGAGTACTGAAATATTTCCAGTACCCATGCAAAGCAGATCTTCACAAAATGGTGAAGGAAATTAGTGGAAGATTTTTTTCCTTTAACAGATGTGTTCCTCTTTTTTTTTTCCTTTTTTTTTTTTCCTTTTCATTTGTGATTAAGCAGTAAATCTATTCCTTTATTTTCCCAAAATTTGAGTGAGTGTCTGTTCTTTCTTTTTTCTGAGAGAACTGAAGTGGGATTAGGTTTTTCTTGTCTTCTGTATCAAGTGTTTAAATTTAATTTTTTTTATTGTTTCATGATCATATTCAGTTCTTGCTATAAATGTTAGCAGATTTCTCCACAGTGCTTGGCCAACTGTTCAGTTTGCCACATAGCTTTCTCCTTTTATGCATAGAGAGCACAGTCTGAGCTGGCAGCTCATCAGAAAAAAATCCTGTATGTTGACAACCATATTGGTATCTCAATTGCTGGACTTACTGCCGATGCAAGACTCTTGTGGTGAGTATCCTGCTTGTTGACATACACAGTGCTGCAATAATGAGGGAAAGTTCATTCAGACTATTGCAAATGACATTTTCTGCTTGGCTAAGGATTGGTTTTGAATTGCTGCTTTGTTGTATTATGCCAAAGACCTCAGCATGAAATTCTGGCAGGTTTTTAACTAGTTGGCAGAAATCTCATTTGTTTGGCCTAAAATTTTATTCTTTGGTTTTGTTACAAGTAAAACAGTCCTGTCTGGTTTCCTCAGTGTGATAGAGTTTCCAAGCAGTCTGAGAAACTCCATCACTTCTTTTTCAATGGCAGCTGCTTCTGTGTACACACATTTGAGAAAGTTATTAAACACATACAGTGCTGTTTGTGTGGGGGGCTTGCTTTTAGCAAATTCGATCAGAAGTGGGGGGAAGGAATTCTGAAATGAGTTTTAAGTGCTGCAGTGTTACCAAGCAATGTTACCATTTAACCTTGCCATTTTTCCAGAGGATCCATCTGTTGCCTGCATGAACCTCTACCTTCTTTCCATTTGTGTGGCTGAAATACCCAGTTTATACTTTATCAAACCTGTGGTCAACTTTCTTAATAGCAATGATAGGTCATGCAGAAATGAAGTCATGGAAAGCCTTTGACCCTTTTTCTCAATGAGCAGAGGCTGAAACAAAAATGCTTATCTTAACAGACAAGCCTTGAGACAAAACCTCATCCTGTCTTTGATCTATGCACTGATTTTAATTTTTAATTTTTATTTTTATTTTTGCTCCCTAGCAATTTCATGCGTCAAGAATGTTTGGATTCTAGATTTGTGTTTGATAGACCTCTTCCAGTTTCTCGTCTAGTGTCACTAATTGGAAGCAGTATCCTTTTTTTATGCACTTGTTATGCTTTTGTAGCTTTTTACTCCTTCATAAAATGACTTTCTTGTTTCCTTAGCTTTCTTAAGAAACCCAGATTCCAACTCAGCGCTACGGCAGGAGGCCCTATGGAGTAGGACTACTCATCGCAGGCTATGATGTGAGTAAGGTGCTCCAGCTGCTATTGATCTGCAAGAAAATGTGCTTAGGGAAACTTTATGCAACAAATAGATGTTGAGAGGGAAAGTGGAAGAGGCAGACTTGTCAAAATTCTCTGAATAAGTGAACAATTTTCTGTATCTTACGCTAAAACATAACTCAGAAATTTGTTTAAATAGTAAGTGTAGGTAGGATTAGCTATTAAGGTGCAAAAATGAGATTTATGTAAGTATTTTGCTATTGATTTTGGATGCTTACAAACTATTATTTTAAAGATTTCCAGTAAAAAACCAAAAAGGATGTGGAAATCACCGTTGGCATCTCTCTCACTTGTTTGGCAACAACATTTTGCTTAATGCAGCACACAGAGAATCTCTGTCCTCAAGATTGCTGACATGAGGGTGGTTGGAGGACATTAGGATATTGCTTTTCATTTTGGATGGTGTGGTTTACTCTACAGCAAATTTTTACTTTTTTGTAGATAAGACAGAGTGTGTGTAAAATACCTGGTATTTTACAGCAAATGTTACATTTTTATTTTACATTTTACAAGCCATGAGGTAGAGAGCATACATAAGCACAGTGCAATTTGTAGAACAGAGTAAGAAACACCTTTTTGTGGCAGCCATCCTGTTCATTTAAAATCTGCACATGAACAAAGTAGAAAAAAAGAGGGTTTTGGGGTTTTCTTAAATACTGTTGTGTTTTTTTAAACAACAGTTTTGAAGGAATTGCATAAGAACAGGGATATATGATCAGCAACATAAAATATATATAAAACATGTTTCTGTGCACACATGTAGGTGTGAAGCAAAACTCTTAGAAAATTTCATGCTCCAGCAGCAGAGTTGGTGTGAATTTATATACTTGTTTAACATTATTTTCTTCTCTCTTCGTAGGATATGGGTCCTCACATCTTCCAGACTTGTCCCTCTGCAAACTATTTTGACTGCAAAGCAATGTCCATTGGTGCTCGTTCACAATCAGCAAGAACTTACTTGGAGAGGCACATGACTGAGTTCACTGACTGTGAGTAATGAAGCTCTCTCCACTCACTGGTATTCTGCAGTTTATTTCCTGCTGCCTCTCCATCCTTCTGCATTTAGTGACATGAAGACAAATTCTGTGAGCCAAGTTTGGTGTAACTGTAAATCTGCACAAAGACAAAATTGTAGAGATTATGGTTGAGATTTTCATGTCTTAATATGTGGATGTTTTTTACATCTAATGGAAAGAGAAGGTGTGCTCAGAAAAGCTGTGAAAAATGTAAAAAGCCTCTACCCTTTTTAACCCAGGGAAAGTGTAGCTGTTTCCATAGGAGAGCAGGGTTATGTATGTCAGGACGAGTATTTAGGCACTGCATTTAAAGTGGTGAATTTATTTTTGTATGTGATGATGATGAATAACCTGCTTTGGGGAAAAAAACTTGACTATCACTGAATGCAAGGCAGGGGTCAAAACAGATGCACTTGACCTCAAATATAGGGAAAGGCTGATTTCTCAACCAACTCTACTCAGAAAAGAGAGGAGCTCTGGGAGTCTAGTTGACCAAGCTGATTTTGTAGTTGTCAGCTAGGATTAGGAAGAGGGGGAATGAGTGTCTAGAGGTAATATCATAAAGTTTGTCAATGTCTTTTTGATTCCATTTTAAGGTAATCTAAATGAGCTAGTTAAACATGGACTGCGAGCCCTGAGAGAGACTCTTCCTGCTGAACAGGATCTGACCACCAAGGTAAGGACTAGCTTTCCTTTGCCATAGTTACTTGAAAATACTGTGACAAAATTCTTGTGAAGTATAGCTGGCACTGAAGCTTGGAAGCTGATTACTGGTAGAGAATAGTTTTAAAATACTGAAAATCAAAATGAGACGAAAATTGGCGGTTTGGAGAAATTTTGAAAAATTTAAACAAAATGAAAGAAATTGAAACCCTTAAATGGCTTTACTTAGAAGATTTTGAAACATGGTAGCTTTTGTAAGTGAAAGCTGTAAAGCTAAAGTTAATTGCAGGAAAATGCTTCTCACTGCTTCCAACCCTTTGCTTGACAGAATGTTTCCATTGGAATTGTGGGCAAAGACATGGAGTTTACCATCTATGATGATGATGATGTAGCACCATTCCTAGAAGGCCTTGAGGAGAGACCACAGAGAAAGGTGAGGGGTTGAGATATGAATAAATAGTTGAAAGACAGTAATTAGATATGATCTATTATGTTTAAAATACATTTAACTCTACTACTGTAGCAGAGTTTTAATAAGGCGGTTTTTAAAATACGAAGGTACTACATGAACACTGCATAATCTTAACTGGTAACTCAGATGCTTATTAAATCAATTATGCTGGATTTATGCCAGGCTGTTCCAATGTCATCTTCTTTCCTCATCTCTGATCAAGTTTTCACTGTTCAACAACAGAAGTGGTTGCCTGTGTTTCTCATGCCCTTTGCAAGTACCAACTGTGTCCTACTTGTGCTTAATTTGGATAACAGTAATTTGTGAGCTGTTAGCTGACAGGAGCTGCATTTACCATTCATGGTACTCCAATGGGGGTAAAGCTGATTTGTCAAGTGTTGTCTTCTTCCTTCCTAAAATATTTCTTTTGCCTCTCTCTAAGCCGGTTCCGCCTGTTGAAGAAACCGTGGAGAAGGCAGAGGAGCCGATGGAGCACTAGTTGGTGGATGAGTTCCTCTGTTAATGTATAATTACCCAGGAACATTTATCCATTTGCTGGTAACTTTATCTTCACCTATATATGTTTTCTGATGCTACATTCTGAGGATTGCTTGTAAAGAAGGAAACCAACCAACCCACCTATCCTTAAAAGATAGACAGGAGGACATATCTGGGTGTAACTGCTTGGACAAGAAAGGTGTAACCATTTTCTAAATAGTACATGATACTGTTTTATAAAGAGAAGATACTGTCTTTAACGCATAAGGACAAGTGGAAATAAATCACTTTCTCGGACTCTGCTGTGAGTTTGGTTTTCTTTAGTCTGAAAAAACAACTATTCACAAATACCAGTGTCATATCAAGGTGCCATTGTGTGTTTGACCATTTGTCAGAGTGAGTGTTTGTATGCTGTATAGAACTTGGAGGATCTTAAAATGCCTATGAAACCATAAAATAGTCACAGAACAAACAGGGAACAGCATTTCCCTGTGTCAGCTGGTCCCAGCTGAAAAGGCATTTGTGGTTATGAGGCTGAACCAGCATGAAGTTGACAACCAGCTTGTGGTCAGGTTTTTTGGGGTGATTTGGTCAACCCCAGCTCTTTTAGAACTCTTAGTGTTTCTTTAGAGCCATCAGCCGGCCTTGGGGCAGAACAGGACTTCCAGCTCCCCGAGGGCTGAATTGGAGTAACAAAAAACCGCCAGAAGTTCCCATTACAGGTCTCGTGAGCTGAACTGTGGAGTCTCTGCTAGATGAACAGGTTCTCCAGGGCTTTGTCCCTTCAGCTTGGTCTATGCCTGGTGCTCTTTGGATTTAAGCCGAATTCCACAGAGTTTGGGACTAACGGTGACTGCCTCAGGATCATGTGCCAGAGAAGCCAAATGAATTGATGCATCCTGGTTGTGATGCTGTTTACCATTTTCAATGTTGGATCATTCTAATATAATTGTTCTCCCCAATGATTGAAAATGATCAGAAACAACCATCTGGGGTGGACCCACATGGGACCTGATAGCCTGCTCACAGTACTTCAAAAAAAACAAAGGCCTGGAACTCGCAGCTTAATAGTTTATTAATATGTATTAATTAAAAATTAATAAATCCTGGTACTGGCTTGAACAGGCTTTAAATACTGTCTGGAACCCATACAAGAAATTCAGCCATGAAAATAGCAAAATAGTAATGCCAGGGTTATGTATTTGGTTTTTAAGCAAAGCTTAAAAAAGCTTTTTTTCTAACAAAGATGCTTTTATTTTTCCTAAATATATTGTTATTTTAGTTTTTCCTTATTATTTTTTTCAATTTATTTCCTCCTTTTTTTATTAATTTCTTTTCCCCCCTTACTCCTTTTCCCCCTATTAGTCATTTTCATTTTTCCCCTTAATTTTTCACTGTTATTTTTTTTTCTTGTAATTATTTATTTTCACTTTGGTTTTTTCCTTCCTTTCCTTCCCCTTGCTTCCCCCTCCTTGTTTTTCCACCTCCCATTGTTTTTTTTCTCTCCCTTTGTTTCTCCTCTCCATTGTTTTCTTCTCTCCCCTGGTTTACCCCCCCATTTTCTCTCCCTCTGTAAATGAATAAGGGTACTTATTCATGTACCCTCCTCTTTATTAATTTCCTGTAATATATTTTCTAGTTCCTTAGTAATTTCCCCCAACTATTTTTTTCCAACCCATTTATTTGGCCTCTTATTTATCTTTCTTTTTTACCATTTCCCACCTCCCTTTTATTGTACTTTTTGTTTTTGGGTTTTTTGTTTCGTTTTTTTTTAGGTTTTTGTTTGGTTCTTTGTTAGGATTCTTTTGTTGATGTTGTTTTATGTGTTTTTGGGGCTTTTTATTTGTTCTTTTGGGGAGCATTTTGTTTGGTTTTTGGGTTTTTTTGGGGGGGGTGTTGTTTTTTGGGCTTTTTCGGTTTGTTTCTTTGGCGGTGGTGGTTGTTTTTATCTAATTGATTCCCCCTTATCTATCTATCTATCTATCTATCCATCTATCTATCCATCTATCTATCCATCCATCTATCCATCCATCTATCCATCCATCTATCCATCCATCTATCCATCCATCTATCCATCCATCTATCCATCCATCTATCCATCCATCTATCCATCCATCTATCCATCCGGGTGGGGTTTTTAATCTTCATTTCGGCCGCTGTTTCCCGGTGTTTTCCCGCATCCCGAGGGTCCCCGGTCCCCCCGCGCGGGAAAGCCCCTCTCGTGCCCGTGACGTCACAGGGGCAGCCCCTCCTCGCGCCGCCTTTCCCCGCGCGGGGACACCGCCCCTTTCGCGCTGCCGAGAGGCGTGTCCCGCCGCGGCCGCCGTACGCGCGATGTGGCCGGGGCGGGCGCGGCTCCACGT